GTTGTATCTAGATTTATGTCATTTATTACTTTCTTTTTGGGTTTCAGTTTCCTGTTTTCTTTTAATATTTTCAGTAAAGATCTTTCAATTATTGAGTACTACTTAACATTTTAAAATTTACCTCTAAGATCTTAAAAAAGATTTATTTATTTATGTATGTGGGTGTTTTCTTGCACGTATGTCTGTCGTACCATTAGTGTGCACTGCCTGCAAAGGCCAGAAGGCACTGGATCCTATGCAACTGGAGTTACAGATGGTTGCAAGCCGCCAAGCAGGTGCTGGGAATTCAACCTGGGTCCTCTAGAAGAGCAGTCAGTGTTCTTAACCTTAGCACTATCTCTCTAGCCCCTATCTCTAGGCTTTTTGATCACACCACTTTGTCTTTCTCTTGTAGTGGCTGTGTTAAGGATTACACAAGAAATTACTCTTTAGAAATGTTACCTTCCCACTTCAAGCAGAATGTAGGAATGTCACTGTATTTCTTTCACCCTTTTTTGTTCCTGCTGAAGCTGCCCAGTACACATACACAGTCTGCAGTACACCGCTTGGTAGAGCCATTGCTGTCAGCTGCCATGCAAATCTGCAGCCTGGACTCCTCTGCTACCATGCACTACTCGATGCGGCTGTTTATCCTGGTCTAAGATGCCCTCAGGTCCACGCTGACCTGAAGACCCTTCTCTAGCACTGCTGTTAGAGCAATGAAGTCTCTGGTTTTCTTCATCTTGCAATGTGTTTAATTTGCCTTCACGCTAATGGTAAGGCTTTACTAGTGGCTGAGGCTCCAGGCAGGTAATTCTTTTGCCACTTTAACAATAACATTTAATCTCTCCTTCATTCCCATGACTTCTGAGGAGCATAAGGGCAACCATAGGATGCTCAGAAAGGTTGGCACTTCAGATTTCTGCTTCAGAAATCTACAGCAAATATTCCAAACCATTTTTTAAGGAAAATATGAAACCTGTAGCATTTCTGGTACTAGGCATTTCAGATAAAAGATATTCAACCTTGATGTGTGAAATGCTGCTCAGGATGTTTTTAAAATATTTTTCTTTTCCAGAAACCCTGTCTCAAAAAACCAAAAAAATTTTTTTCAATGTTAGCTTTCAGTAATTTGTTTTGATGTGTCTCAAGTATAGTTTTCTTTTGTATTCACCTTCTTTGAAGTTTCATGAATCTATGTAGCCCTGGCTGTCCTGGAACTTGTTTTGTAGACCAGGCTGGCCTCAGACTCAGAGATCTGCCTGCCTCTGCTTCCGAGTGCTGAGATTAAAGGAGTGCACCACTACTGCCAGGCACAAGTTTCACAAATCTTTGTTTTTTCACAAACTTAGATTTTTTTGGGAATATTTCCTGTGCATAAATGTAGAGGCCAGGGGTGGACAGTGTGTCTTCCTGAAGCACTTTTCCAACCCATTATTCCTATTTTTTAAATATTTATTTTATTTTATGTACATGTGTGTTTTTCCTGCATGTATACACATGAACCAATTTGTGCTGGGTGCCTGCAGAGGAAGAAGAGGGCTTTGTGTCCCCCCAAGAACTTGAGTTACAGGTGACTGTGAGCTGTCATGTGGGTTCTGGGAACCAAATCCAGATCTCATGCAAGAGTATCTAGTGCTCTTAACTTCTAGTTCCTCTACCCTGACTGGCCTGGGACTCACTCTGTAGACCAGGCTGGCCTTGAACTCACAGAGGCCTGCCTTCCTCTGCCTCCCGAGTGCAGAGATTTAAAGGTATGAGCCCCACTTCTACTCCTTTTAAAAATTATGTATTTTTGAGATTATAATTATATCACATTCCCTTCCCCTTTCCTCTAATCCCTCTCATACAACCCTCCCTGCTTTCAAACTCATGGACTCTTTCATCATTATTTTATGTGCACACATGTATATGTATATACCACTCTTATTTTTTGAGATAGGGTCTCTCACTGAAACCTGGTACTCACTGACTGGTCAGACCAGCTAACCAGCAAGGCCCCATGATCCTACTTTCTCTGCTTCCCCTGTGGTGGAACTTATAGCACATACCACAGGCCTGGTTTCTTACACCTGCTAGGACCAAGCATAGATCTTCATGCTTGCAAAGCAAGCATTGTAATAATGTAGCGCCCCACTCCACAGGTGGTATTCCCCACAGGTCCCTGAAGCACGCTGCTGTGGGCTCTCCTTCTCTTGTGCTGGGGACTGAGCCCAGAGCCTTCCTTCCACATGGCAGGTAACCCCTCTACCACTGAGCTACATCACTATCTATCTAGTTTCAATTTGCTTTTTCTAATATTTCCAGCATGCTATTAAACCTATTAATTTGGAATTTTTAGCTACTGTAATCTTCAACTCCAATATTCCTTCTCTGTTCTTCTCTGTGTCTTTAAGAAAGTTCATTGCTTTTCAGACCATGGTCTTAGCGGCTGGTTTAAAATGTTTGTGACAATTCCAACAGGACAACTCCTGTGAACTGGTTCTCTCCCTCTATTATGTAGGTCACAGGTCATTCAGGTCACTGGACAGCTCATCATCTTCACCTGCTGGCCACCAGCTGGCCCCAGGCCTAGCATCTGTTGACTGCTTTCTCCTGAAGCCCCTGAGGTTTTCTTGGCTCTTTATACACCGAGTCATTGGGGATGGAATATGAGATGTTCTAAACATCGTATTGTAAGACTTTGGGCCTTTTCAAATCTATGCAAAGTGTTACTTCTGTTTAGCAGGCTACAGAGCAGGTTGGGCTCTGCCTGCTGAGCAGGCAGCAAGAGAAAGCAATAAAAGAAAAGCAATCCATATTCCCCCATGCAGTGGTCAGACATTTAGGCACCTGAATTGTATACTGCCATCACCGTGCTGCCTGCCCATATTCTGGGATAAGAGAAAGCTGGGGAATCCCCTTCCTGTCTGCCTCGAGTCTCATTTCTTTTCAAATCAGAAAACCTTTTGGCACCTGTTCGGCAGCTGCAGCTCACAGACCTCCAAGAAGTCCCATCAGAAGTGAAAGTAAGACACCGCCACCTTGATGGGACTTCAGGTCCTGTCACTCTTATCTAGCATTTACTTTAGAGTTACTCTGAACATCCTGTCCATAGCTTTTAGCTCCATTCAGCAGGAGAGATGGGGTAGAGTATGCTTGTTGACACCTTGCCCCCAAAATGGCTCCTAATTCCATTGCACAACCAGGGTGAGGAACAACTGTACACATCTGCATGGACGCTGCATCAAGAGATGGCTCAGCAGGTAAAAGCACTTGCCACCACATCTGACAACCTAAGTGTGATCTCCAGAAACGACATGGTGGGACAGAATGACTCCTGTAAGTTGGCCTCTGTCCTACACACACATACTCACCCACCCAGTATGTGGCCCCAACAAACATTTTTTCAAGAGATGGCAAATGCCTTATGAGTCGAACAGATAATGCTTTAGGCTTTGTGTTTATCTGCTGCAACTGTGCTTTGCTGCTGTTCTGTGACAGCAGCCACACATTACAGCATCAGCAGGCATGGCTACCTTTCAGTAAAATATTATTTGATAAAACTGGTCACAGAGCTGGGCGGTGGTGGCGCACACCTTTAATCCCAGCACTCGGAAGGCAGAGGTAGGCGGATCTCTGTGAGTTTGAGGCCAGCCTGGACTACAGAGTGAGTGCCAGGACAGCCTCCAAAATAATACAGAGAAACCCTATCTCAAAAAACCAAAAACCAAAAACAAACAAAAAAAAACACCAAAAAAATAAAATTTCAGGTTGACAAGACAGTTCTGTAAGCAAAGCTGCTGATGACCTGAGTTGTCTCTGTAGAACCCACACACTAAGAAAGGACTAAATCATGCAAGGTGTCCTTTGACACACACACACACACACACACACACACACACACACACATCTATAATTCTAGCATTCAGGGAGCAGAGGCAGAAGGATCAAGATCACTAAGCAGACCTCCAAAGGAGGAAAGCAACCCCCAGCTATGACGACTATGAACTACAACAACTATCAGTACCGCATGATAACCCTAAGGGTGCAGTAGTGGCAGGCACACCTTGGCTGCAACCAACAGTTCTGTAATTGGACTTGGGATCCCCTCAATTAGAGGGAAGTCATGCCTGGTACTGGAAACTCAAGTCAACTATGTTCTAAATATTTGTCTTTATTCCCACAGATAAGTACAGTCCTCATCCCTCAAAGGAAACTTCTCTCTGAAACAGATAGGAGACCATCACAGAAAAACACAATCAAAAATGCAGTTCCAACGGATCATCTACATCACAACCCTTGCACCTAAGGCTTAGGGATAATTGTAGAAGAGGAACTGGGAGATTACGTGAGACTGTGTCTCCTAGAAATGTCACAAGCTACACCCATGAAGTTTCACCAACACGGCTGCCTAAACGAGATCTGAACAAGGACGGCACAAACAGATAAGCTAACATGGAAGAGGTAGCTCACCAGGCTCAACCCTCCACAGAGAATTACAGGTAACCAGACTGCTGAGAGGAGAACAAAGTCTTTCCCAGGGAAGCACACCGATTATAACCAATGCTAAGTGGCCAACCATTAAGATATACCTACATACAAATAACATACTACAAACAGGTAAAGTTCTACCTATATGCTTAGAAATATATAGATGTATGTACGAACACACACACACACACTCCACCACCAATTAAAGAAAAAAGAGGCCATGAGGTCAAAGGAGAGCAAGGTGAGGGGAACATGGGAAGGTCTGGAGGGAAGAAAGGGAAGGGGGAAATGATGTAATTATATTATCTCAAAAAAAAATTAAAAAGTTAAGACAGCAAAGTTCCAGGTCAAACTGGGATATACTCTGGGACCCTATCCAAAAAGTAAACAAAAACAAAAATAAAAATTCTGCAGTTGTTATCCTTCCAAATAGAAACCCTCAAGGCAGTCTTCTTGAGGTCACTTTAAGGCAGAGGAAATCATAAAAATGTTGTCCTGACCTGTCTTTCCAGACCAGAGGAGCAGCAAGGTCACCTCTTCTCCCTCACCTGGTTTCCTGCCGCAGAGGTAGAAGGCCAGCCTGTCAGTCAGCTCGTACTGTATCTCCACGAGGCGCTCCGCCAGCTCATGGTGCCCTCCTTGCCTACCAAGAGAACAAAGCCCCATTGACACGGCTCAGTTCACCGGCATTGAGTCCACAGAGCACAGAACCATTCTGAGACACTGAGCAGCTTATCACACGTGACTCTCTGGAAGGCTGCATGCTGCCTGTCATGATCCTTTCAGTGCTTCCTTGGGAGCCGTGCAAGACTCATGAAAGGGATCATAAGGTGAGAAAATCTAATAAATAGAAGAGGTTCTCAAAGCCAACTAGAGTGTTCCCAGAAACACCCACCTTGGGAGCTCTGATCAGGAAGGACAGGATGGCCCCAGGCTGCTATCCTGAATAAGTCCCTTCCTCCACAGGATCTTGATGCCTGTGGCCACTGCCCTGTCAAAGCCTTGAAGTCACTTTAAAGACTTCAAGGCAGACAGACTAACCTGATGCACAGCTCATCCCTGCAGCTTCTTCTGTCTTTGTACCTGCCATTTCTGCAACAGGAAACAGTGTTTTCCTTTCTTTATTCATAAAACATGTGAGCTGCTTGGAATCCTTTGAGCATATAAGTAAACCGTTACACTGAGACTATTACATGCCAAGTACATGGGAGATTCCAAAGTGAAAAAAGTATTGACTGTGGATTCTGTTATCTTCCAAGATCAAATCTAGCTCCAGTCAGTCTCTCTCCACATACTTCCTGACCTACTACACATACCTGAATCTAACAGGCGTGCTTTCTCAGTAGGTGAAATGGGCTGTAGTGGTGCGTCTGGTGGAGCTTTCTCTGTTTCTCTGTCAGCGGGGACCGAAATGAAGCAGCATGGTCCAATCCCAGAGCTGATCAAACATTGCCTTCCTCTCCCCACTCCCACACCCTTGCCTTCTCCAGTCCCATCTCCAAGGTGATGAACATACTCTATCCATCCTCACCCCCCACCCTTGACTCCGCCTTTTCTCTCTCAATGATGCTTTAGTTCTTCTTCCACAGGTCCAAATCCAACCCACTCCTCAACAACCACTGAAGAAATCTAATCATTAGGGCCACAACGAAGAAACCTTACATATGCTCATTTTCTGTTACTGTGTGTATGATGTAGACATGAAACACGTTTGCATGTATGTGGGCCCATGTGAGCACATGTGTGCGTGTGGATGCACACATATATGGAGGTTCAAAGCTTATGTCAGGAATCTTCCTTGACTGCTTTCCACCTTATCATTGAGGCAGAGTCTTGACTGAGCCCAGAACTTGATGACAGAGCTAATCTTGATAGTCAGGTAGCTACAGGGATTCTCTGTCTGACTTCTACTGCTGGAATAAACAGGACCACTACGATCACACACCGCACTCACCCACCACGATCACAAGGTGTTTGTGTGAGCTCTGAGGATCTGGTCTTCATGCATGTACAGCAAGTGCTTTAGTCAGTAGGCCATCTCCACAGCCCCTTACACGTGCTTTTTAAACTTTTACCATGGATTTGAAGGCATGTGTGGGAATGGGTTCTTGCTCTCATCTCTCTAGATTGTGCCATGCTGCACATACCAACATAGCTGGCTCACAAGCTTTATAACTCTCTCTGCCTCCCATCTTGCTGTGGGTGCGGGGACTACAGATGTGTGAACACCACACCTGGCTTTTCATATGGGTTCTGGAGACCACACTCAGGTTTCCATACTAGCCACGTGTACTTTTTAAGACCCACTTATCAGCAGTGCATAGTAGCTCACACCCGCAATCATGCATGGGGAGAGGGAGGATATCATAGGCAGGAATACTGATGTGAATTCAAGGCCAACCTGGGTTACACAGTCAGACCCTGTCTCAAAACACAAAACACAAAACACAACATGGCTAACTGTCCATTTTGTCAACAATTCATATATAATCTTGCCTCAATTCCTTCAGGCATTTATTAGCCAACTCTTCCAGAGAAGTAAAGATAGGATTCTGAGATAGACTTTGGTCATTTCCCCTGTTTAATTCTTTGTGAAGCAGAACAAGATGCTTCATAGTTAATACATCTGGAAAGAGAAGGAAAGATTTCCATCTTCCCTCACCTAGACCTGCATGTTTAAAAGGATTTATTAAACCCTGTCAAATTACTTCATGCTCCAGCATTTCAGCTGTAGCAGGACATAGCAGTTACTCAGGTGCACATAGTAAGAAATTCAAGATCTGCATGGGCATCAAAACAAAACAAACCACAGCAGGAACAATTTAAAGATGCATTAAAAACTTGAAGAGTGGGTTTTGCATTTTCCCCAATGCCAGGGACTGACTCGTGTTCAAGCCCTGTGCTATGGTTCTAGCCCTATTTTGTTCCTCATATGTATAGGCAGGCAGGCCACTCAGTGGGCCATTTCTCTAGCCTCCTCTCTAATTCTTATTTAATTTTTTAAATTAAGATTTATTTATTTCTATGTGTAAATATTCTGGCTGCATGTAAGTACATTTCAGGTGTGCCTGGTGCCCTTGGAGGCCAGAAGAGGGTGTTGGAGTTACAGATGAGGCAACATGTGGTGCTGGGAACCGAACCCTGAACCCCAGTGCTCTGCAAGAGTAGCTGGTGACTTTAACCACTGAGCCAAGTCTACAGCCACCGAGACTCCCAATTCTTGATACTTGATTTGTATGCTGTGGCTTGAACACTACTTTGTTACAAAGACTGGAAGTTAAGCACACCAGTTTATGATTCTAGATTCCATGATCTTGCCTGTCTCAGCTGATGTTGAGATGTCTTCATTCACAAAATAATAGAATGTAAATCTCTAAAGGGCTGAACACAAGTCATACACAATTCAGTCACTTAGTAAGGAAACATATTCAGCATACAGGCTATCCAAGACCCTCAGCCCCTGACCTTGCATAGTCAACAGGAGTCTTCCCAGTAGAGTCCTGCGTGCCTGGGTCAGCTCCGTATACTGCCAATAATTCAGCCTGTAAAATCTGTCCTGCTTTGGAGGCGACATGGAGTGGAGTGCTTCCTTTTTCCTAAGAATTAATAAAGGTAGACAAAAAAAAAAAAAAAAAAAAAAGAAAGAAAAAAGAAAAAAAGAAAGAAAGAAAACTAAACAGCGTATTCAAATGCAACTCAGTCAATCTGACATCTGAATCAATTGATGTTTCCGTACAGGATGAAAGAAGTTGGCTTGGGCTCCTAGAGATAGCAGTCTCAGACAGGTCTCCAGGTTCCCTGTTCTCACACTCGAATGGAGTTGCTGAAAAACAAACAAAGAGTAGTTGTAAAAAGAGTTATGAGTGATGTGCTGGAGCAGCTGGTGACCTATTTTAATGCACTCTCCGTTAGTAACAGATCTTTCTTTGGCTCAGGAAGACAAGGACTTCACAATGGCTGCAGGCTGTAGATGAGTCTCACACATTTTTACCCACAAGGAGCTAGAACTGTGAAGGCCAGTCTGCCAAATATGGGGTGCCAGGTAGAGGTACAACTATAACCCAAGTGGGAAGCATTTTAAGATGGGGGGCTCTGAGGTTGAGTGGAATGCATTTCAAGGCCTACTGCTGCCCCCCTGTATTATCTGACAAAAGCTCTTTGGGCAGTAGAATCTGGATACCATGAAGATTCAATGACACAGGAAACACTTCAAAACTCAGGCATAACTACACCAGTCATTATTAGATGCTGCCACGGGTACTTGCTGACCCTGAGCTTCAAGCTGCCCTGCATAACTACATCTACCTTACACCATCCGCCATCAGTCTGCATTGTTCATCTAGCCACTAAATGCTTTCACCAGGCTGCTCTTAGTGGGAAACAGGACTGTGCTCCACCAAATTCCTTATTACCACAGAAAATCTTTAAAACAAGCACAAAGCAAGGCGCTTTCCTTCAAGTTTAACCTAGAGCTGCTCCAGATGCAGTAATTGGCACCATAGGAACAGAGAAACGCACCGCAGCCAGTCTTTTTTTTTTAATTATATGTATGTGTGCACATATGTGCGCATTGAGTGCTGGTGCCCAGAGAAGCCAGAAGAGGGCATCAGATCCCCTGGAGCTACATTACAAATGGTTGTGAGTCATCCATCTGATAAATCATCAGCAGGAACACTATGCATTTGCTCTTAATTACTCATCCATCTCTCCAGCCCCCAATTTTATTAACACACACACACACACACACACACACACACACACACACACACACACACACACACTTTTACACAAGGTCTTACTATGTAATCCTGGCAGGCCTGGAACTCACTGTATAGACCAGATCAGCTTTGAATTCACAGCTATCTCCCTGCCTCTGACTCCCAAAAGCCGGGGATTACATAGCCACCACACCTGGCTGTTTTTTACTTGGTAAAAAAGGAGAGAAACTATATAGGTCTATTAATTAGCAGAAAATTATGCATATATCTATGTAAATTAGTACTCTGAATTGTACATGTGCTCTGTTCAAATCACTGCTCCAAAACTTAAGATGTGCGTTTCTATACCATCTCTCCTAGACACCCGAGGCTCCTAGACACACTGTTCACCAGTGTGACAGATCCTGCATGGGACGAGTCACACTCTACCTTCTCAAGGTCCTCCTCTCCCTGCACCTGGGAAGCTGAAGCAGTTAGCCTCCTCCCTCCTCTGTTCTAGTCTCAAACATCCTGAAAACTTCCTAGGCCCTTCCAGAAACACTCCTTTGAAATGGCTGTTATTTCCAAGTAGAGGACTTACCAAAACATATACGTGAAAATCGTACTGAAAAAAAAACACAACTTAATTAAAAATTTTTTTTAAAAAAAAGGAAAACAAGGTGGTGGTGCACGCCTTTAATCCCAGCACTCGGGAGGCAGAGGCAAGGCGGATCTCTGAGTTCGAGGCCAGGCTGGACCAACAGCCTCCAAAACAATCAGAGAAACCCTGTCTCGTAAAACAAAACAAAACAAAAGGAAAACAAATCCTGTCTCTGAGACACTTATTTTCCCTCTTTGGCTGGTATGATCAAAAGAGCAACTGCCACTTAAAAAAACGACAACAGACAGCTGTCAGTTACTTAAAGGTGCGGAAGATCCTGGTTTCCTCCTCCTGTACTACTTCCAAGTGAATAGGACCACTGTGTCACCAGGCTCCCCGAGGGACTGTAAAGAGTGTGCCCACCTTACTAAGATCTTTGGCAGTCACACTGTCGTCGTCACGGCAGGGCAATCGGTGGACAAACGCTAACATCTGATACTTCGCTCTGATGAATTCTGCTTTATTGGGGCTGGTTTGAAAACAAAAAGGAAAACAGTTCACTTGCAGTTCAGGCACATTTCATTCTTTATACTTTAAGAGGAAGTGACCACATCCCCCACTTGAGAATACATTTCAGCAGTGCTGAAGAATGATCTGAAAACACATTACCACTTTTATAGCGTCTTTTTTCCCTTTCTAACTTTCTTAACTGATGGAATCTCAGGAGGAAGCAGCATTTAGTCCCTCATTAGGTGAGGCACTGGGCAGAAGCTGCTGGAAGCCAGGTTTCTGGTCTGACTGTCAACAGTTCTAACCACACCTAGTCACCAAGCTCTGGTCTCTAACTGGAGAAATCATTGCATTCAGCTGGATAACCAAACAAGCACCTGCCTCACTCTGCCTTTCGAACAGCAAAAGCCCCAGATACAAGGCCATTCAAAATAGCCACATTCCTTCCAACAGGGCCATTTGTCGTGAAGAAATAGAAGTAGTTTGAAACATGGCACTCACTGTACTTTATCCTGTGGATTAGCTTTCCGTCTTCCACTCATAATAGATGCGGGGTCCAGCAAAGAATGCTCCCATATAGAATTAGCACCATTGTTATACAAGGTCTCAACCATCTGAAACCAAGTAGTATGAAATGATATTTTATTTCCTCAAATATTCAAAGAGAATCAGTGAAAAAAAATGGAAAATAGTACACCATTAAACATACTAGCACGTCTGCATACGGCCCCATTACTATTCTGATCGTAGAGTCAGACTGAGGAGCTCCAGGCAGAATTCAGCTTTGCTTGTAGAATAGCCAATCTGGCTTGATTGTACATACTTATAAACTGAAGAGAAAGTGACTGATGATGCTTTAGGGTGGCATTTCCGTGCCTGAACAAATGCTACTTTAGCCCCGTACACACTAGTCATTTTAATAATTGTTAGTTTTCTTATACACGCCTAAGTAAAATAATGCAATAAATGTATATCTGAGTGCTATCTCTTTGACATGCCCCATTGGAGTTCATGTCCCACCTTAGTGTCAACCCTGGCATTTTCAACTACTCATCTCTAGACAGTTTGTAAATTCTTAAACTGTAAACAAAGACAGTCCTGGGAGTAGCACACTACTTTCGTGTGAGAATGGACCTTTGGGAACTTCTAGGAAGAATGTTTTTGTTTGGTTGTTTTGAGTTTTGGAAGACAGGGTTTCTCTGTGTAGCCCTGGCTGTTCTATAACTCACCTCTTGAGTGCTGGGATGAAAGGCAGGTGCCACCACTGCCTGGCTTAAGTACACCACCTTAACAAACATCTCAACTTCATTTCCCAACAGGATTCCTAGGAAGGCCCATCTGCTCATGGGCATCTCTCTCTCTCTCTCTCTTTTTTTTTAAACGAAATTATTTATTTAACCTTTATTTTATGTGCGGGGTGAAGATATCAGATCCCCTGGAACTAGAGTTACAAGTTGTAAGCTGCCATGTGGGTCCTGGGAATTGAACCCGGGTCTTTTGGAATAACAGTCAGTGTTCTTAACCACTGAGCCATCTCTCCAGCCGTCATGGGCTTCTTTTATCAGAAACTCAAAGCACTTGCTTTGATACCTTGGTTCCTCTGAGTTTAAGGAGTGCCATGTAGAGCGATTGCAGATTTAGTGAGACATGTATTAAGACAAATAACACAAAAAAATGCACTGCTGTGGAATAATCCTTCTGTACACTGTGAAAATGTCCCACTGAAAAACTCAGGCTACAATGCGCGATTAATCCCAAGTTTCAAAAGAACTTAAGAAGTGTACCCCAAATAAAAGTAAAAGGAACATGACATCAACTCCCAAATAAGACAAAGACCCCCCTGACAAGTGTTAGGTACACATCAAAACATGTTCGCTTAGTCTCTGCCTGACAGTGAGGCTTTAAGAAAACCTCAGATGCTGAAGGGATTTCTGAAGAATCCCAGTCTATGCTTTGATCAAAGCAGGGAAAAATGGTATAAAAATATGAGCAGGGACTCAGGAATTGCAGGTTAACGACAAGTTTTTCAGCAGTGGCTTTCAGGATCATTTATCACAGTATACAGGAAAGACAGACCTTTTAAAAATAATTTCTAGGGGCTGGAGAGATGGCTCAGTGTTCTAAACGAAGCATTTGTTGTTCTTGCAGAAGACCGGGGTTTGAGTCCCAGCACCCACTTGGTGGTAACTCCAGTTTCAGGGGATTCTGTGCCCTCTTCTGGCCTCTGTGGGCACATGTATATATGGAGGGAAAATACTTATACATATAAAATAAATAAATCTAAAAAAAGGCTAAAAAAACAAAAATAATTTCTGGGGGGCTGGAGAGATGGTTCAGTAGTTGAGAACACTGGCTACTCTTCCAAAGTATACAGGTTCAATTCCCAGAACTCATACGGCAGCTCACAGGTGTCTGTAACTCCAGTTCTAGGGGATCCTGACACCTTCATACAAACATGCATTCAGGCAAAAGCACCAATGAATTAAAAATAAATTAACTAAAAAATAATCTCTGATGTTGGGCATGGTGGTGCATACTTTTAATTTTAGCACTTAGGGAGCAGAGGTGAGAGGATGTCTGTGAGTTCAAGACCAGCCAGGGCTACATAGTGAGACTCTTGTCTCAAACAAAACAAAACAAACTCTGGTGACAATCTAGAAAATCAGCAGTGAAAATTTACTAAGAAATATAAACTTTTATTGATACATTCTATTGATATATCTGTCTATGTATAACTGCATTTCAGGGAATAACATTATGTTAGGTGATCAAAGAAAGAATAGGTAATGATTTCAATACAGGACAATACTTTATACTATACATAGAAATGAAGGGCAAAACACTTTATCCAATTATGATCCAAACATTTTTATGTTAGATCTTTTAGTTGCTAAAACAACAATCCTAAAACACAAATTTCCAATTATGAAATTTTTTCTTATCATTTACCTGAAGCAGTGTTGGAGGCCATGGTGTGTGTTTAAGATGCCTTACTTGGGAGATATGGCGCCCTAGACTCCGATGTACACTGCAACACTCGTCACATATAAAAGTTCCCCTATTTACTGATGCCCAGGAAGGATCTGGAAAAAGAACGACACCTCAGTGGCAAGGACACTAATTGGCTGCTATATACATGGGGATGAAAGATGGCTGATGCTTGGTTTTTAAGAAAAAACAGAACACATTTTTGTTGTTTTATATGTTTCTCAATATATGACTCGGATGGACTGGCCTGAGGGTCCCACCCATCTTGACTGAACTAAGACTCACAGCCCTACACAGCAGCTGTCTTCTTCCTGTGCAGGCCCATCTGCAGCATGACTGTGGATCTACCACCATTGACAGGTACTCTTACAGAACGGTAAAGAAGCAGATTGAGGGAGCAGGGTGGGTCATTCTACTCTGTTTCCTTGCAGTGCTGGGGACTGAACCTGGGGCCTTGCCCATACTGGGCAAGTGCTCTATCATTGAGCTACATCTCAGCTCAATGAAATCATTTTGCATCCATCTTTATAAATAAGACTACCCGTTCTTGACAGTGAATTATCCTCATACAGTATCTAAGGTAAACAGTGACGTGCCCACCGCCCGATGCAGGAAGTCAAGGACCATATACTAACAGAAAGCCAGAAGAGAACTGCAGAAGCACTCAGCTCTTCTGAGGCAGGAAAGGGTGGTTCACTCCACTAAGGTGATGCTCTTTGACAACACCAGTTGTTTTAGATAACCTGTTGGATCCAGTTTTGCAGCTGACTCGAAGGAAGGCGTCTCACAGAAATAAAGACATAAAACAAAATGAACAGTATTTCTTGTTGAGTACAATATTTTCTTTCCTTTGAAATCCACAAAATTTCATCAGACAACCTTTCATAAGAGGAATAATTTACACTACTCAGGCATGATGGTTCTGGACAAATAAACTGAGTCTTAGAAACCTGAAATAAACACAGGCCTTTCCCATTCCATCAGACGCTCAGTGGGGTGATAATAGGTGCTACTCAAGCTGCCTGGCCTAAGGGCTACACTTTAAACTTTTTCAATGTCCACAAAAATCTCTAAAATGCATGTATATCAGTTTATTCTGACCCCTTCAAACCATACAATGAAAAGTTATGGGATTTCAATCAAAGACAAACCCTGGGAGACAGAGAATATGGTGGTAAGAGGGTTGATTATGGAGACAAAGAGTCCATGGTTTGAATCCCAACTCTGTCACCACTTCTTGAGCAATAATCTGAGGCAAATTACTTCTTTGAGTGTCCTCACAGTGGGACAGGAAGGGCCGATGAAAATAAGAATAAATAAAAGTATCTGTCATGGGGGCACAGAAATGATGCATTTTAAATGAACTAGATTCATTAAAAAAAAAAGAATCAGGGCTGGGCAAGCGGCTCTCCTAGCACCACAAAGGTAGACAAGACATAATCATAGTGTCTTCCCTAGGACAAACAGAAAAGAATCCAGCAGGTCCAACCACAGGTGCTACTATGGTGTTCTAAGGAGTGGGTGGGGAGCATGAAGACTCTGGCAGACGCATGACAACACTGCTTCTGCATCCTCTGTTAGTATTAGGATTGGACTGTGGCTTTGTTTTTTTATTGTCAGAGGTTCACAGTACTCTTGGGCAAATCAGCCAGGAGGGGAGCAATGGTTTAGCCCACATTAAGCAATGGTCTCAATCACTGAAACACTGTGGATCAGAATCCCAAGGATTCTGACAACACAGAAAATGAAAATCAAGCTTTTGTGAATGAGGTTGGATGAAATCCTTCCAGGTTCTCTGGAAGGCTCCATGAACAAACACCACACATGGATTTCAAAGGTATATGTGCCCCCGCCCATCACTATGCAAATTCTGTCCAGGAGAGTTACGAATTTGAGCATCTTCTGAGATGGCCTTAGCATTATTTCAAAGGAGCCCTAACCCTAAGTGGTGCACAAAAGACAGTACAAATTCCTAGTCTGCCAGTTCACCCTTCAAGGTAGCCTCACTATATACAAAACAGGAAGGAAATGACTCAAGTCTTTCTAGATTTTGGCATTCAAGACAACTAATATGAAACAACATACAAGGTCCTGAAACGGCACAAATGGACAAGACAGTTTTTGGGGTGGCAGGGAGAAGCCATCTGCTTTTGCCATGTACCTTCCCGTGGAGAAGTAAAGAATGTGCATCCCAAGAGGAAGTTTTAAGTTAGACACACATGAATCAACGGAAAACAGGCAAGAAAAGAAGGAAGCGGAACAAACGACATTTTAAGAGAAAATGATAGTTTGTATAAACCTGGCTTACAGTATAAAGCACTCCTTTAAAAACCCTCCCTGCCTGCCCTTTACCTTCCGTCCCAACTGTTAACCCGGAGTACCCAGGTCTACGAAATGAGTAAGGGTTGGCACAGCACCATTTAAAATCAGCCTCTGCTTCTAATTGACAAGATGAAAACAGTTGCAAACCTGTGTTCAACGACTTAATTAGGCTTGCTTACTGAACACCGCTGTTCCAGGAAAGTCATCTAATACGTAACTGACTTCACACTCGAAGTTAACCAAGTCCAAGAACCAAAACGAGCACAGAAATATTCGAATCTAGACCCGTCAATTGGGTTCCAATTACTAAACCAGATCCAATCTTCAAATCCAAACACTATCTGCAGTAGGAGTAGTTTTGGCCGTTCGATGTCGCCGAGTTTACAACGCCAGCGACTGTGTGTTTGGTACGACTCTGAAGCCAAACTGCAGCTGAAGGAACTACAACGGTTTTCAACTGAGTAACGTCTTACAAAAGACACGACCCCCTAGGGAATATCCACTGACCACTGGCGAACCGTACTGGTGATAGTTTCCACCGGGAAAACGAGGAAAACCAGGTTAGAGCAACTGAAGTAATCAGTGCAAGGTCACGCAGAGGGGCGAAATCTGGTGGGAAACTCAGATCCTCAAACTTGAGAATCCGAGCTCGGGCTGTCCCCCCAGGAGCGGCTGCCGGACGCGGGCCAACCCTCCACTCGGGGCCCCACGGGCAGCGCAGCCGAGCGGTAGCGCGCACGCTCGGGCCGGGGGCCGGGGAAAGGGAAACACCTGCAGCCTCGCTCGGGCCGCCGGTAACTGCCTCCTGTCACTCGCTTTCCGGGGCCGCCGAACCCTTCCCGTCCTCTCCGCTCCCGGGCCCCGTCGCCTCTGCCCTCGGCCGGGCCGCGGGAGGGAGAGAGGGGAAGAGGGAAGAAGCGACCCCCGGGTCGCGCGGCTGACAGGCCCGGGACCGTCTCGCGCCCCGGGCGGCCCGGAGGTCGGCGTGGCTGGGCCGCAGTCAAGCTCCCGCCCGCGGGGACCGCCCCGCCAGGGGTCCCGACCCCGAGAGCGCGGCGAGCGGGCCCCGCCGGCTTCGCTCACCCGGCCCGCTGCAGTCGGCGCACACGTCGCTGCTCCGGAGCCGCTTCGACATGGCTCCCGCTTCACCTGCCGGGAACCCCACGACCGCAGAGGCGGCGGCGGCGCTTCCGCTCTAACGGGTCCCCGGGCGGCGCTGGCGGCGCCTCTCCCCTCAGCGCCTCGCAGCCCCGGCACACTACGCACGCGCGGGGAGACGTCCTGCGGAGCCTGGCGGGTCATGTGACCGGAAAGGGCACGCTTCCTTGTCGCCATCTTGAATAAGGGCAGAGGTCGCCTGAGCATCCTTTGACTGTAAATACTCCCACAGTTGGACTCTCCCTTTTGGGAAGCGATTCCTTGATCCAGGACTGATTAGTACCAGAGGAAGAAGCAAAACCTTGTGACAAAAACTCTAAACGTACACTCTCCCGGAGACAGTCAGCAGCTAAGTTCATTTAGTCATGCCCATCTCTCCCATGCGATGTTTGATAGTTGCCACACACTCTTCCATTAAAGCTTTTAGGTACCATCTTGGTGTTACTGATACCCGTACTAGCTTCACTCAGGAGAGTGGGCTAGGTCGGTTACAATCCTTGACCGGCCCTTGCACTCATCTGAAAAACTGGACGGAACAGGGAACGCTCGCCTGTCACACTGGACGACTTCGTGGCAGCTGTAAACATCTGGGCAGACAGCACTGGGTTCTTCACTGTGTCAAGAAGAAGATATAGTGCCTGTAGTCGCAGCCCAGAGGATGGATTTCACTTGCGCCTGTTGTGGGCCAACCTGGATACTTACTCTGTTAGTCCTCTGGGACACAATCCTAAATCCGAGTGGTTAGTTTAACGAGACTGGTGCGGGTTAGACCTTCACGGTAAGTACTTTGAATTATAGCCGAGTTGGGAATTCAGACTAAATAAGTGGTTTTCAACTGGGCGAGTTTTGGTTTTTGTTGTTGTTTGTTTTTAACCTCCGGAGGACAAATGAGAACGTCTGGAGACCGTTTTGGGGAGAGTGATGATGGCATTGAGTAGGCAGAGCTCAGCCTCCTACAAAGCGTCGGATAACCTCCATATCAAAGAACCCTCCAGTTCAAATACTCCAAAACGTAGAATCCCAGAGACACAACTACCCTGATATTATGAGGGTATGTAGTGCCACCTCTCCAGGGTTCAGTCCTTCCGTAGAAACGATTTCGCGTTGCCCACTTCCAAAATGGCTTCTGACCAATCGTGAAAGGCTCCAGCCAGATGGTTTAGTCCAGGCTCGCACCCCTAGGGCTGCAGAGCCAATGGAAAGGGCCCAGTTTGTGGAGTGAACCACTGGAGGGGGCTGGAGCGGGTGGGGAGAGTCAGGGGGCGCGCACCCTGAATTTTGCGCACGGGGATCTCGGGCTTCCCGGGGGATCCCACGGTTCCATAGAGCGTTGATTGTTGTGTGTCCTGGCGTGGGGATGCGGCGGGACGAAATGTATAAAGGCTCGGGTCGGTCTCGGGGCCGCGTCCCCCGCCGCGGCGCTCGGTGGAACGCCCCGAGCACTTCCCTGTTCGGGGCGGTTCGGCCGGCGGCAGTCGGTTCGCGAGCTGTCAGCGCGGGCGCGAGCGCGCGGGGCGCGGGGTGGGCGCGGCCGAGCGGGTCCCCGAGCCGGTCCCCAGCCCGGCCCGCGACCCCGGGCCTCCAGAGCCGCCCGCTCCGGCCTCGGAGACCCGCGGCGCCCGCCGCGCCCCGCACTCGCCCGCTCGGCGCTCTCCTCCCCTCGCTCTCCGGCCAGTCGGGCGGGAGGGCCCCCGAGACCCCGTCGGATCGAGACTGGTGGCGGCAGGCGGGCGGTCAGGCCCGGGCCGCGGCCTCCTCGCCATGTCCTCGGACCGCGACGCCAGCAGCCGCTTCCCGCTGCACCTCCTGGTCTGGAACAACGACTACCGGCAGCTGGAGAAGGAGCTGCGGGGCCAGGTGAGGTGCGCGGCGCCAAGTCGGAGTCGATTCGTCTCCCGAGCCCCGCTAGGACCCGCATCGAGCGATTCCTGTAGACCGGGCCGTGTGCCGAGGGCTTTTGGTACAGTGTCCCCTTTCCAGCGTCGCTAGGAGTGAATGCTGATATGACAGGGAAGGAAACTGAGACCCCAGAACCTACTTGCGCAAGGCCACCAGGCTAATGAGTACCAAGTCGGGAGCTTTTATCTCAGGCTGGCTGGCCCCAGAATGCACCTTTAGGCCTTATGGCCTCGAAGGCGGAAGAGCAACACACACAGCCCTTACTTCACCTACCCTTTTTCTGGGGAAGAGCTTGGTTGGCTTCGGAGGCCGGGTTCTAGCTCCCTAGTGACCTTGGGCGAAGCAGCTGCGTTCTGGGGCCCATTCTACCTTACCCGTAGGGTGAGGATGTTGGCAGCGATGTGGGAAAACCCAGTACCTTTCAAGATTGATGGTTCTGGGTCTGGGCCTAGGAATCAGAATTTAACGAGCTCCCCAAGGCGGCTGATGTAATGTTTGAGATTGTCTGGAGCTCAGACCCTTAGGATCCCTCCCTGTTCTGAAATGCTTTGGTATTTTTTTTTCCTTTAAAAAAATACATCGCTGCCTCTCAAAACTCAGTGGTTCTCAATTGGAGATTACAGGGGGCATGTGGTAGTGCAAGAAGACATTTTGGTTGTTATACTTGGGAGTTGGGTGCTGCTAGCATCTAGATGGGTGGAGGCAAGGAACCCTTCTGTGTCCTACAGTGTTCAAGCTGGCCACCCACCCACAACAGAGTTCCCTGATTTCAAATGTCAATAGTGCTTTGGTTGAGATTGAGAAGCTTTGCCTTATGAGTATATTCTTATTTTGTTGTTTGGGGTTTCTTGGTTTTCCTTTTCTTTCTATTCACTGTGTAGCCCAGGCTAGCCCTTAACTTGGGAGATAGCCTCCTGAAGTCTGAGCCACCACCTGGCCTGAGATGATGACATTACTGACACTGCAACAATTTTAGTAGGTATTGGTGTCTTCTAGTTCCATATTAACTCGTAGCAAATAAGATAAGGGTCTGTAATTACTCCTGGAATCTGTCATGGCTGTTAGTGTGGCTTTGTTCATCTTATTCAGTGTGTAAAAGGCCTGCTTTTGGACGACTTGACATCCACACCGTAATTGTCAAGAACCTTTGGTGCTCTTGGTTGGCAAACATTGGGCACACTCCATAGACTGCTGTTTGAACAGGTCTGTTAAGTGTTGGTTTGCAGCCTGCCATATGTATTTTAAGTTGTATGGGCACTCAAAAAGAGCCAGAAGTCACTTTTTTCATTAAAAAAAAAGATTCCTTGGAAGGTGTGGGGGGATGCACTCTATTAAGCCATGGCACCCAGGTGGTTGAAGCAAGATTAGAGTTGGAGGCTAGCCTGGGGAATTTGGAGAGAGTCTGTCTGAAAATAAACAAGAAAGCTCAGTGGTTGGTATAACACTTGTCTGTTATGTGGGAGGCCCTGGGTTTCATCCTCAGAGTGAAGGGGGGGTATAACCAGACAGAACAAGGTTCTGTAAGAGTCATTGTTCTTAATTAGATGACACAGTAGCTATCTAAGAGTTAACGAGATAGTGACACATGCCCCCAGAGAGAATGATTCACTGCCAACCATCTCAATGTACCTGCTGATATCATTCAGAGACCTTCTCTAAAGTCTTAAATCAGGTCTCTGGGCATAATGACCCACACCTATAACTGAAGCTGAGGCAGGAGAATTGTAAGTTCAAGGTCAGTATGGGCAAATTAGACTCAGTCTCTAAATAAACATTTTTTAATTACAGAAAAGGAATTGGGGTGTATAGCTGAGTGCTGACACTTGCCTGGCATGTATGGCTCTGGGCTCAGACCTCACTCACGCTCCTTTAACTGTAGACCCAAGTTCTCAGCTTGTGCCTTGTTGAGAGTACGGAGAAAGTCACGGAATTACAATCCCATATGATAAAAAAAGTTCATTATCAGCCCATGGACTTCCAGTCCTGAGTTTTGGAAACGCATTCTGCTCATTGAAGAGGAAGAACAAAAGTTAGAGCCACACCTTGGTGCAGGCTCTCCTCAGCAGCTAAGTCACCATTTCCTGCTAACTCTGGTAAAGGTGTCCATTGAAAGTTCTGTCTTTGACTGTGACAAATGTTAAGGACATTTGTAATTAAAATTTAGGAATTAATTTTTTTTGAGGCAATGTGTCACTGTGTCACTAACTCTAGGTAGCCTGAAAGTCATCTGTGTAGCCCAGGCTGGCTCCAGATCCTCTCTGTGACACCCCACCCCAACCTGACTTGGATCACAGGCTTGGTAGCGCTCAGGAATTAAAATCTTGCGGTAGATCTTGACTTCAAGGCTGAGAAAGAACTACTCATACTCTCTGGTTTGATGTTGCTCTTATTACAATGGGCCATTTCACAATGTAGCACTTGCCTTTGGGGAGGAGGCCTTGTCATGGACATCTTGACTGTCTAATGGTACAGTCCATCTTGAGCCTTGGAATTTCTTTGTTCAAGTGGTGGGGACAGCAGCTGTGTAGGGCCTCATGCTCTGCCATCACCATTGTGAATTCTTCACTATTTTGAACAAGGGGCACCTTGCACTTTCATTTTGTCTGAGTCCTTGCATTTTATAGAACCGGTTTGGGGTCAAGATAATCAATATCACTAAAATATCCTTAAGTAACATGGCAGGAAAAGTGTGTCGCTTCATGTCTATCCACATTCCCTGTTGATTATGACAGCCACCTTCCTTTCTGACCAGGAGACAGCTGGGTTTAGTGGTCAGTACTAATGGTGACCAAGCCGTGTGTGGGCATGTGACTTGCCCCTGTTGAATTGTCACCTGAGGAGGTGGGGAGTGGGACATGGAAGGCAGCTTGCTCTTGCTGAATGTGGACTGAGATGAGTGGTTGGTTTGCTCATCTGTAGTGGTGGAGCTCAACTGTAGCCGAGGCTGGCCTTGGATTCCTGGCGGTCCTCCTGCCTCACTCAGTCTCCTAGTACTGGAATTAAAGACATGAGCCATTGTGCTCAGCTTCTACTAAAGTATTTTTTTAATAATTAAATTTTGCTCTCGTGGGTGTTTGCATGCATGCGTGTGTTTCAGGGAAGGGGGAGATTAACCTGTGCTCAGGAGCACAAGTGCACTTTCTTCTTCCACTGTGTGGTTCAGAGATCAGAGTCAAGTCTTCAGGTTTGGTGGCAGGTGCCTCTACC